GCACCCACAAGGACAAATTAGCTGTTTGGTGCCGTTAGCATGCTCTGGGAGGGAGGGGGAGGACCGGGAACGTGGCGTGCTCCGGGGAGGAGGCGGGGCTGGTTTGGGGATTTGGGGAAGGGGTTGGAATGGGGGTGGGGCAGGGGTGGGAAGAGGCGGGGCCTCATGGAAGGGGTGGAGTTGGAGCATAGTGGGGGTAGAGCACCCATGGGAAAGCGGGGAAGTTGGTGCCTATGCTCAGACTACAAACCCAGCTCCTAACACAGATACCTGGCACCTCGTCCCTTTGTTCTCCAGCTCCGGCCACGCTGCGTTCACATGCTCAGTCTGTTTTAATGCAGAGGGGCCGGAAAGCCACTGTTCAGTCCTTGGGGCACCCATTGTCTCTGCTGGGCCTTCCATTCATAGGCACTGATTTCACTCAGTTCTCGAGGGTGCCTTTGCACCCAGCTCAGACAGGCTGCCCGTCCTCGTTCCCTGCCCACTCCCCGTGTAGCCGTACAACGTGAGCAGGTAAACTGATACACTCATATGGCTAATAAAAATGTGACCCAAAACGCCTGCGTTCATCACAGCTCCCCACAAAGTCTGAAAGCCTGGCTGAGTGCCAGGCAGCTGCTGACGTCATGAGCAGTCCCCAATTCCCCTTACAAGCTGCTACAGCCGGCAGGCTCAAGGGAGTGGATAGGATCCAGTCACTTCTTGTGGACATCACAGCTTTTCTTGGAAGTCCTGTGATAGAGCAGGAGTTGGACTCTTTTCTCAGACCCGCAGACAGCTCAGAAAGGCCCTAGCTCGATAGATCAGCCAGACCTCCCATCAGTGAGCCCACGGGGATGTCTCAGAATCAATCCATATTCACATTTCTGTCAATATTGCTTCTGTTTCGTGATGCTCAAATGTAAAGGAGCAGGGAGTGTTTAAGTACTGGCCCCGGCCCAGCGCTGAGAGGGAAGCAGTTCTGATCCCCAGTAAGAGTGCCCTTGGATGGAGATTAGTGGAGGAGATTGTGGTTGTTTAAATGTCCTTGGATTTGCTTTGACCTGGCTTTGAGCAGGGCTGTTTCCAGTCTGAGCTCCTGAGGCGGGGAGCAGATCCCATATGCAGCCGTCATCTGCTGCCGCTTACTGCCAGCTACAAACCATAGGGAGAGACAATTAGCTGTATCCAGATCACAGGGGAAGGAAGTCAAACGTCCCTGACCCGGAGAAACCTGTGATTAAACCAGCTCAGACATTTTATCTCTTGTTCCAGTTAAACCACAAAGAAATTTGCTTTCAGAGCTGGGATGCGACTTACCCATCTGCTGAGCTTCTAGCTCCCAGACAGACTGAGCAGGGCTCCAGTCCTTGCATTCAGAGCCCTCCCCCAACTCTGTGTCTTCTCTGTTCAGCTATTCCCCTGCACTGCTATTCCCCAGGCATCACGCTCTCTGCATGATCATTGTGATGTTGTTAAGCAGAAACACAAACCGTCTGTCCGTCCATCTATCCTGCAGGCTCCTAAGCTGCACCCACGGTGGCACAAACTCTGTCTCCTATCTTAGGCAGCATCACCTTGCTGCTCAGCCAGTGGAAACAGACTACATTCTACCAGGGAAACGAGCCTCTGAGAAGCCTAAATAGTCATCATGGCTTTCAGGCTGATGAGTGGAGTTGACAGGATAGTGGTGTTGCTGCAAGCAGGACTTAGCTAACCGAGCCCTTGTTGTATGCAGTGTTGTTGTAGCCAGGATATGAGAGAGACCAGGTGGGTGAGGGAATAACTTTTATTGGACCAAGTGAGAGACACCAGCTTTGGAGATTCCACCATGTATCCAGCAGTGACAGTCTGAGTTAGTTTCCCAGACGTGAAGAAGAGCTCTGTGTAAGCTCAAAAGCTTCTCTCTCTCTCACCAGCAGAACTTGGTCCAATGAAAGATATCACATCATCCGCCTTCTCTCTTGTTGGCCATTGGGTAGCTCTACCAGTGGCTTTTCCTGAGCTTTTGGCAGTGAGCAGTGTAGTGAGTGATCGATCAGTCTCCGACAGCAATGGTCAGACCCAGTGGAGTTGCACCACTGCTCTGTAGTGCCCTGGACTTTCCTTTCCAGTTATGGGTACCTCCTTGCCGTGTTCTACCAGGCTCAGAAGGCAACCGAACCTGTAGTTCCTTTACGCTCTTCTCTACGGACCTGCACTGGCTGCCTTCAGCACAGGTACGGCTTTGCTTTTGGACTGAATCACTCGGGGCTCGATTTTGCATGACACCAGTTCAAACAGCTCGTGACTCTTTGGCAAACCTCATCCCACTTGCGTTCAGCATTTGCTCACGAATGTCATGTAACGGTGCAGCCTTTGTGTTAACACATTACTCAAACCTGGCATTGCATCACACCGGGAAGCCCTCAGGGCAGCTACTTCCCCAATGGCTTCCAGCCAAGCGGAGGTGGGTAGATCAGGTCACAGCCAGATATGAGTGATCATGAAGCAAGAATGAGATGGGCTCCTTATACAAAACTAACTCCTCCATCTTCTTCTGGTTCTCTTCTCCCTGCCTCACAAGCTCCCACTCCTGTTCTCCACGATGCCTTCCATCTCTGCTAGCCAGGGCCTGAGTTTACAACACGTAGAATCATATGGTTAGACGGACTGCAAGGGTCAAACTCCTTTACAGATCTATTTCCCTAACCAACCTTAAGCTAACTTGAATTCTTTAACTTTATACTTATCCTACAGTTTCCTCTTCTGTGACATAGGGACAATGAGACTGATCCTTCTCTGGGGAGCGGTGAAGACTGATTCACTCCTGCCTGGGAAGCTCTTCGGGAGCCAGGTGGAAAGTGCCAGAGAAGGGGCAAGGCTGAGGGTGGTGCAGGGTGTGGAGGCCTTTCCAGGGGCATTGCAATGTCTCACTCTGAGCTCTGCGCCACGTTCCCAAGCAGCGGGACCTTGGCTGGCTCCCTTTGTTCCTGCCCCATGCAAGGAGAGCGACGGCAAGCTCCCTAGGCTAATCGGGAACCGTCTTTGGACTCCAGGTGTGGGGGACTCCAGTGACACCACCCCAGGCAGGCAGCCTGAGTCCCACCGCTCTTCATCTTTGCCCTTCTCCATGCCCGCCGGCCTGCCCTGCCCAGGGTCCCATGGAGCCGCTGGCTTCCAGGGCTGCACGATGAACAAGGAGCCGGGTGGGGCAGAGTCTGGCTGGGCCTCATACAGAGATCGCTAACCCAGGGGTCAGCAAAGCCCTGAGGGGCCCATTCCTGGCTGGACCCTTTGCCCCCCCACTGAGCAGCCCATGTCCGGCTCGCCCCTGTGCCCCCACCAGCCAACCCCCACGGGCCCATCCAGCTCCCCCAGACCCACCTCCCGCTCTGCAATGAGCAGCCCATTCCTCGCTGGCCCCTTTGCCCCCCCCAAACAACCCCCCCGGGCCCATCCAGCCCCCCCCCGCCAACTCCCCGCTCTGCCCCCCATCCAGTCCCCCCACAGGCTCAGCCAGACCCCCTGCCAACCCCCCGTTCTGCCCCTCATCCAGCCCCCCCAGGCCCTACCTCCCCGCTCTGCCCGTGCCCCTCTGTCCCCCTGACCCCCATCCAGCCCCCTGCTCTGCCCCCCATCCAGCCTCCCATGGGCCTAGACAGACCCCCTGCCAACCCCCCATCCAGCCCCCCAAGCCCTACCCCCCCTTCTCTGCCCCCCTGCCCCCATCCAGCCCCCAGCTCTGCCCCCCATCCAGCCCCCCCAGGCCCTACCCCCTGCTCTGCCCCCCATCCAGCCTCCCATGGGCCTAGACAGACCCCCTGCCAACCCCCATCCAGCCCCCAAGCCCTACCCCCCTCTGCCCCCTGCCCCCATCCAGCCCCCCAGGCCCTACCCCCCTGCTCTGCCCCCCATCCAGCCTCCCATGGGCCTAGACAGACCCCCTGCCAACCCCTCATCCAACCCCCCCAGGCCCTACCCCCTGCTCTGCCCCCATCCAGCCCCCAGCTCTGCCCCCATCCAGCCCCCCAGGCCCTACCCCCTGCTCTGCCCCCCATCCAGCCTCCCATGGGCCTAGACAGACCCCCTGCCAACCCCTCATCCAACCCCCCCAGGCCCTACCCCCTGCTCTGCCCCCCATCCAGCCCCCAGCTCTGCCCCCCATCCAGCCCCCCCAGGCCCTACCCCCCTGCTCTGCCCCCCATCCAGCCTCCCATGGGCCTAGACAGACCCCCTGCCAACCCCCCATCCAGGCCCCCCAAGCCCTACCCCCCTTCTCTGCCCCCCTGCCCCCATCCAGCCCCCAGCTCTGCCCCCCATCCAGCCCCCCAGGCCCTACCCCCCTGCTCTGCCCCCCATCCAGCCTCCCATGGGCCTAGACAGACCCCCTGCCAACCCCCCATCCAGGCCCCCCAAGCCCCTACCCCCTGCTCTGCCCCCCATCCAGCCCCCAGCTCTGCCCCCCATCCAGCCCCCCAGGCCCTACCCCCCTGCTCTGCCCCCCATCCAGCCTCCCATGGGCCTAGACAGACCCCCTGCCAACCCCCCATCCAGGCCCCCCAGGCCCTACCCCCCTGCTCTGCCCCCCATCCAGCCTCCCATGGGCCTAGACAGACCCCTGCCAACCCCCCATCCAGGCCCCCCAGGCCCTACCCCCCTGCTCTGCCCCCCATCCAGCCTCCCATGGGCCTAGACAGACCCCCTGCCAACCCCCCATCCAGGCCCCCCCAGGCCCTACCCCCCTGCTCTGCCCCCCATCCAGCCCCCAGCTCTGCCCCCCATCCAGCCCCCCAGGCCCTACCCCCCTGCTCTGCCCCCCATCCAGCCTCCCATGGGCCTAGACAGACCCCCTGCCAACCCCCCATCCAGGCCCCCCAAGCCCTACCCCCCTTCTCTGCCCCCTGCCCCCATCCAGCCCCGCCCCGCCCCGCCCCCGGGGAGCCGCCGGCGAGGCCGCGCCGTGAGCGCGCGCCGGGCGGGGATTGGCTGGCGGGCGGGCGGGCGGTGACGCGGCGCTGCTGACGCGGGGCGCGCGCGGACACGTCGCACCCGCCATGCGCCTCTCGCTGCTGCTGCCGCTGCTGCGGCCCGCGGCGCCCGTGGCCGTCGGGGTGTCGCTGGGGCTGACGCTCAGTCTGCTCAGCGCCGGCTGGGGCCAGGCGCCCTGCGGGCCGCGCGCCGCGCGCCGCCGCGGCCCCGCGCCCGCGCCCGCGCCGCGCGCCGGCCCCGCCCCCCACCGCCAACCGCCGCCCGCCGCCGCCTGGGAGCTGCGCGTGCTGCCCGCCCGGCCCGCCGCGCCCGCGCGCGCCGCCAGCAAGGCCGTCAGGTGCCGGGGCGGGGTCTGGGGCGCGCGGGGGCGGGGCTGTGAGGGCGGGGGGCGCTGTGGGGTGGGGGCTGTGGGGTGAGTTGTGGGGGGGCTGTGGGTTGGGGGTTCAGGGGCTGTGGGGTGAGTTGTGGGGGGGGGGGCTGTGGGATGGGGGGTTTGAGGGGCTGTGGGTTGAGTTGTGGGGGGGCTGTGGATTGGGGGGTTCAGGGGCTGTGGGGTGGGGGCGGGGGGGCTGTGGGGTGAGTTGTGGGGGTTGGGGAGACGGGGAGCAGTGAGGTGAGGGGTTTGAGGGGCTGTGGGTTGAGTTGTGGGGGTTGGGGAGATGGTGGGGAGCTGTGGCTTGGGGGGTGGGAGGGCTGTGAGCTGTGGATTGGGGGGTTTGAGGGGCTGTGGGGCCAGGGCGGCTGTTGGTTGAGTTGTGGGGGTTGGGGAGCCGGGGGGATGTGGGTTGAGTTGTTGTGGGTGGCTGTCAACTGTGGGGTGGTGGGTTGTGGGGATGGGGGGTTTGAGGGGCTGTGGGGGCAGGGCGGCTGTTGGTTGAGTTGTGGGGGTTGGGGAGCCAGGGGGATGTGGGTTGAGTTGTTGTGGGTGGCTGTCAACTGTGGGGTGGTGGGTTGTGGGGATGGGGGGTTTGAGGCGCTGTGGGGGCAGGGCGGCTGTTGGTTGAGTTGTGGGGGTTGGGGAGCCGGGGGGATGTGGGCTGAGTTGTTGTGGGTGGCTGTCAACTGTGGGGTGGCTGGTTGTGGGGATGGGGGGTTTGAGGGGCTGTGGGGCCAGGGTGGCTGTGGGTTGAGTTGTGGGGGTTGGGGAGCCGGGGGGATGTGGGTTGAGTTGTTGTGGGTGGCTGTCAACTGTGGGGTGGTGGGTTGTGGGGATGGGGGATTTGAGGGGCTGTGGGGCCAGGGGGGCTGTTGGTTGAGTTGTGGGGGTTGGGGAGCCGGGGGGATGTGGGTTGAGGGGATCGGGAGCTGTGGGTTGGGGGGTCACGTGTTGAGGTGCCTGGGGAGATGGGAGGGGGGCTGGGTTGATGACGTCCCAAGGGAGGGGGGCCAGCTCTGCTCACCATCCGTGTCCCGGACGGAGCCTCCCCTGTCTGGCGTCCTGCAGCCCCCAAGCACCCAGTGTCCCCGGGGCTGGCCCTCCAGCTGCCCCAGTGTGTGAGCCAGGCCCTGCGGCGCTGGCACCCTTCCCTTCCCATCCAGGGGCGCCTGCTGCACCCTGCGGTGGCGCTGGGGTGCTCCATGCCCAGGCTCGCCGTCATGGGCCAGCCCAAACCACATGGGGGCAGAGGGCACAGCAGGGCATGCCGAGGCAAATTGGAACAGGTGCCTGATGAGTCTGGCTCCCCAGTGTGGTAGGGTGGGGAGCGGGCGTGCCACGAACCCTGAGGCTGCCTTCCGTGAACGGAACAACCACTGCAAGGAGACGGAGCTCACAGGGAGAGAGGACGGGGGGTGGTGGTGGTGGTGAGTGACTAGGGTCTGCCCACTGGAAAGTAATTGGCAGCAACCTGGCCCTGCTGTTCCCCCAGCCCATTTCATACCAGCTCCGCAGCCAGAAACCCAGCAGCCTTAGAATCACAGAATATCAGGGCTGGAAGAGACCTCAGGAGGTATCTAATCCAACCCCCTGCTCAAAGCAGGACCAATCCCCAACTAAATCATCCCAGCCAGGGCTTGGTCCAGCCTGACCTTAAAAACTTCTAAGGAAGCAGATTCCACCACCTCCGTAGGTAACGCATTCCAGTGCTTCACCACCCTCCTAGTGAAAAAGTTTTTCCTAATATCCAACCTAAACCTCCCCCACTGCAAGGCTTCATCCTGTGTCCCGCGGCCCATCATAGTACAGGGATTGGGGTGGTGGGGAGTGACCTTAAATGGGAGGCCTGGGGCAGGGGGAAGGCTCAGAACTGCTGCACTGGGCAAGGTCTGTTACAGACCATGGTACAGCTGCCTCTGGATGTGAAGCGCAAGGGTGATGCTGTGAGTCTGAGGGAGAAGTGCCTGGGCTGTGGCATGTAGCTTGTCCCTAGGGCAGCGGCCGCTGTGGTCGTTCATGTTGGTGCAGCTTGCAGGCTGGCTTGGAGCTGTCAGTGAGGGTACCGGGGGGGCAAGTGTGGGGCTCTGACTTGTTGCAGAAGGGGCCCTGAAGGGGTTGGGCTTCAGCTGTGGCTCAGCCGGGAGAGTGCTGCTGGCCGCCCAGACTGTGCTTCCTCCATCTGCTCCGTGTGACTGACTGGTTCATCCCTTTATTGGCCCTTCCAGGAGAGCTCGGCCGCCCAGGAAGTCTTTCTGCAGAAATAGTTTCCTTTGGGGGCAACCTGGCTGTGCACAGCCGCTGTGCCCCATTCCCAGTGCTGCTGCTCTGCATCCTCAGACTGTTCTTGCCCCAGTGCCTTGCCTTATCACAAAATGTTTCCTGGCCTGCAGGCCCCGCTCCTGGCACCCACCCCGTTGTTGACTTGTTCTCTCTATTAGGAAGCTTTTTCTCTTATCTAATGTCAACTTGCCCTGTGGTGGTTTGAGGTCATTCCACCTTGGGCTGCAATATCCCAAGCGAAGCAGGGTTGGGCCTGGTCAGTATTTGGATGGGAGGCCTTTGTGGACATCCAGGAGCTACAGAGAGCAGGGTGAGTGACTGCAGGAGGCGCTCTCCCCTCGGAGTGCTAACCACAGGACGGTGCTATGGGGCACTGTAGCTGCTGGGGATACTGTTGTTCAGAGAAGATGCAGACCGTTGTAGACATGCAGGAGCGATGGAATTATTGCGGCGGCTGTACACTGATGTGAATTAGGTTAACTTAATTATGTAGTGTAGACATGGCCTCGGGCTTTTCTAGTAGCAGCTGTCAATGCATTTGGTGAAGCTAGCTCAACACTCCGCCCCTTTCCCTGCGTTGTGGGATCTGCTGGACACACATGCAGCCTAAACTCTCCCTGCTGCTCCTGTGCCCTGGGAGCAAGTCTTCGCCGCCCGCCCCAGACTCTGTGCCTTAACCCTCTCCTCCCCATCGTGCTGCCCCCTGGTGTTTGGCACTCTGGGAAATGAGCCAGCTCTGCTGATGCAGCAGGGGAAAGGTTTGGTGTGAGGGAGCCTGGCACGGCCCTGCTCCAAGGGAGGCCTCTCCGGAGAGGAGCCTCTGGTTCTGTCAGTTCCTGTCGCCCACAAAGGGTGCGTACAGAATTGCCTCTGCCTGATTCCCTGTCATGCACTTTTCTGCCTGCTCCCATCTGTTCCTTGATCTCTCCTGGCTGGGTGCCCTGCTGCCCCAGCCAAGCCATCTCTCCTTTGTTACTGCTTGGGCCTAGCTGCGCTTTGGGTGTTCTGCTCTGGGCGCCGAGTCTCTGGTTTCCCTCCCTCTCCTGCTGTTTGCAGAGTCCACCTTGATCTGAGTGCAGCTCCCCTTGCCCTCCTCCTCCAGAAAGTGATCCAGCCTTGGTGCAGGGGCATGAGCTGGTCCCTGGGCTCAGCACTTGGCAGTGCTGGGATCCCGGCAGGGTGCAGCACAGAGCACCCAGGGAGCGGGCCAGTGAACGAGCCCTGTTGTCCCCTGGAGGAGGCGAGAGGGCAGGAAGTGGAGGGGCTGAATGAAGCCAGTGTGTGTGCGGGAGGCAGCAGCACGGGGTTGTTTCCTGCCTCTTGACTGCACTGCATTGATTAAAATCCAAGAGTGATGTGAGAATCATGCAGCTCTGGCTGGCGCTGCTGTGAGTGGGGCTGGGCCCCTCAGCAGCCAGCACTGAGACCAGCTCCCTCACACCCTCTTCACAGGCTTCAGGTGCCTTTCGTGCTGGTGGGGCCTTACATGGCCTCCCACGTTTGGGCTCTGGGTCGGGTGGGCTGGGCTCAGGAGCTGAAATCCTGTTTGGAGAACAGCAGAGGCCCTGTGATTGGGTGGGTGTTTGGGGAGCGCAGAGTCCAGCTCTGCCCCCCCCTCCCCCCAATGGGCAGTGACTCACCCTGCAGGAGTGGGTCTCTGGTCTCTCCCCCAGTGCTGGTGCTGCATGGGCAGTGGGGGGCCGGTGCTCGTCTCTTTTGAGCTATAGGACTGTGACTTGTGACAGCTCACTCCTGTGTGAGGGATGGGTCTCCTAGCAGGGGGAGCTACAGCAAAGCAGGTGCCTGGGGGGTGGGGGGTGGGAAATGCATGGGGCAGGGGCAGCAGAATGGGGGCTCTGGGAACTTGCTATGTGTGGCTGCTCCTGGAGTGCTGAGATCCTTTCCATGGGCAAAAGGCTGTGCTGGAGCTGGGATTCCTGCCTGAATCGTGGGCTTAGTGGTGAGGAGGTGCCATTGCTCCTGGGCTGTGGGTAGAGCCCTTCCCCTCCCTGCACCTCCTCGGGGGTCTGCCAGCATCTTCCCACCAGGCAGACCGGGTCCCACCCCCAGCTGCCCCTTCTCTGCTGCAGCAAGTTCAGGCCTCTCAGCCTCACCTCCTTTGCGGCTCTTTCCTGCCTCACGTTCATCACACCTCTGCTGCGCCCGCCTTACCCTCTGCACCTTGCAAAACCTCTCCTCGCCCTGACCTGTGTGGCATCCTCCCGTCAGGGCCCGCCAGCGGTGCAGTTGCCCTGTCATGGGCTTGCCAGTTGGTGTGAGCCACGTGGCAACCAGGTGAGCTGGGTTAATAGGTTTGGGACCCTTGAGCTGTGCCCTGGGGGGGCCTCATGCTACTGCCACCCTGCCCCATTGCACACCCAGCTGTCTAATTAGACTGAGCTTTCTGGGGCAGGGCCCACCCGGCTCTGGGTCTGCGCAGCCCTGGTGCACTAATTGGGGCGCTCTCTGCAGCCATCCATAAGGGGCAGCCCCACAGCTGAGTGGGTGGGGCCATGGAGCTGTGTCCCAACCTTGCCCCTTCCCGAGTGGGGCTGGCTGATGTGCAGGGCCCGCTGGAATCGGGCACGTAGGCCTGTCCCTTAGCAATGCCCCAGGGCTGGTGGTGGGCTGTCCTGGAGCTTGCCATAGGCCTTGTGTCTGCCCTGGCATGTGCTCCATTGAATGTGGGAGCCCTGGTGTGGTGACCAGGGGGCAGCTATGCTGCATGTACATACCCTAGCCAGAGACTCTCCTGGACTGCCCCATGTTGCCTACAGGAAACTTCTGCACCCACCAAGGTCTGTGGGGTGGGGGTCTCCATCCCAGGACATGCAGCTGCTTTGCTCCACTCAAGTTGCACTCAGCTCCCCTCCCAAGAAGGGTTTGTTTGGAGTGCTGTGGTGCCCTGTCGGTGAGGGAGCATATCCCGCCCCTCCTGCAGTCCAGTGGGCTCTGCCTAGTGGCTCCCCGGCACAGATGGGGACCTGGCTTAGGCCCTTCCCCCAGGCACAGTTGTGGGATGCAGTGTGGGTCATAGGCCAAGCCTGTGGTGGCAGCGGGAAGCCTGGGTTAGCAGTGGTTGGGTTGGTGCTGCCTGGGCCCATGGTGTCTCTGTTGCCCTGCGTGTGGGAGCCACGTGCCGTAACCTCTCGGGTCAAGGCAGGTCAAGTCCCCCTCCCCTGACCCAACGTTGGGGGAGGGAAGGAGAAGTATGGTCAGCAAACTCCCTTTCCCCCCACCCACGACATGCCCCGGCGCCACCCAGTGCAGAGCTGAGAGGACACATGCTCACACTCCTTATCCTGCTCCTGTGTGGGGGATTAGGAATTAGCCTCTTTAGAGCACCATGTGGCTGCTGGAGCTGCAGATGGCTGGGATGTCCCCTGCACAGAGGAGGGGGTTCTGGAGGACCAGAGAGGCCCATCCGAAGGCTGGCTGTTGGCTATTCTGGTCTGTATAGGTTTTGTACTGTACTTGTCCCTGCAGCATCTGGGCCTCTTCCAGTGGGGCATTCAGCCAAGTGACTCCACATCTGCCACGTGTTCGTTCTTTTCTCCGCTCCCCAAAGGAAGGGGAATGTGCTGCGGGGAGTCTGGATTTGGGTCTATTTTTATAATGTAGATGTGCCTGTTGCTTTGTGTGCATTAGAGGAGGCAAGTTGAGAAAACATGCCTGATGCTTGGAGGCTTGTGAAAGCCCTTAGTTCATGGGGGTTCTGCTGGGGTTCCCCATAACCTGGGTTGTCCCCTTCACTTACCTCTGCCCCAGCTATTCACCCCCGCAATCATAGAATCATAGAATATCAGGGTTGGAAGGGACCTCAGGAGGTCATCTAGTCCAACCCCCTGCTCAAAGCAGGGCCAACCCCAACTAAATCATGGCAGCCAGGGCTTTGTCAAGCCTGACCTTAAAAACTTCTAAGGAAGGAGATTCCACCACCTCCCTAGGGAACCCATTCCAGTGTTTCACCACCCTCCTAGTGAAAAAGTTTTTCCTAATATCCAACCTAAACCTCCCCCACTGTTCTGTCATCTGGTACCACTGAGAACAGTCTAGATACATCCTCTTTGGAACCCCCTTTCAGGTAGTTGAAAGCAGCTATCAAATCCCCCCTCATTCTTCTCTTCCACAGACTAAACTATCCCAGTTCCCTCAGCCTCTCCTCATAATTCATGTGTTCCAGTCTCCTAATCATTTTTGTTGCCCTCCCCTGGACTCTTTCCAATTTTTCCACATCCTTCTTGTAGTGTGGAGCCCAAAACTGTACACAGTATTCCAGATGAGGCCTCACCAATGTCGAATAGAGGGGAACGATCACGTCCCTCGATCTGCTGGCAATGCCCCTACTTATACATCCCAAAATGCCATTGGCCTTCTTGGCAACAAGGGCACACTGTTGACTCATATCCAGCTTCTTGTCCACTGTAACCCCGAGGTCCTTTTCTGCAGAACTGCTGCCGAGCCATTCGGTGCCTAGTCTGTAGCGGTGCATTGGATTTGTCCGTCCTAAGTGCAGGACTCAGCACTTGTCCTTGTTGAACCTCATCAGATTTCCTATTGGTGCCATGACATTCTCTGCGGGGAAGGGATCTCCATACTTGGCATTGAAGCGGAGACCCAGTGAGGGCATATATTGGGTATCTGTGCTAGGGCAGTGTCTCTGTGCCGGACTCATGGCGGGGATCATTGGCTGACCCTTCACCAGTGTGGGAGTCCTGGGCGTCTCAGACACAGGCGGGGCCCCTGCAGGCGTGGCTGGGGGATTAACGGGTGTGGCCCAATGGGCAGAGCACTGGACTGGGACACAGGAGCTCTGGGTTCTCTTCCTGGCTCTGTTACTGGCCTGCTGGGTGCTCTGGGGCCAGTCACTGCCCATCCCTACGACGGGGTTGATGACGCTGACGTCCTTTGTGAACCGCTTTGAGAGCTGTGCAGGAGACGTGTCAGACAGGAGCAGGGCTAGCCAGGGCGGCGATCTCTGCAACAGGGGAAGGTGGCGAAGGGCGGGAGCAGGGCTAGTCAGGGCAGCGTGCTCTGCAACCAGAGAAGGTGGCGAAGGGCGGGAGCAGGGCTAGCCAGGGCAGTGCGCTCTGCAATGGGAGAAGGTGGCGAATGGCAGCCGGGGTCACAGTGGCATTGGGGACTACGGAAGGGGTTCTGCACCAGGGCGGGGCTGTGAGACAGGGAAGCTCGCTGGTGATGTGAGGGGATGCAATGGGGGGAGGAGGCTTGTGGCTCCTGCTGGGGACTTGCTGTGTATCCCGCCCCACCCAGTCCCCGCCTCTCGCTCCCCAGCTGTTGCCCTGAATCTGTCCTGCCTTCTGCCCCGGAAGGACCCTTGCTGGGCAGAGATGGGGATAGCTGGTCATCACATATCCCTCTGCCCCCCACCTCTGCATCTCTGCAAGCTTCCCCACAGCAGTGCCCAGCCTGAATCCAGCCCTACTCAAAGGCTCAGATGCACCTTATCTGTGGTTTGGGGAGAAGCACAGAAATCCAGAGCCGTGCCTGGATGCTGTGACTCGCGTGGTCAGCGGGATCAGCCTTGTGGGGCTCAGGGGCAGGTCTGAACCTGGCTGGCTGGTGGCAAGTTCCCTGTGGTGGGGAAAAGGCTCGCTCACGTTCGCTCTCTGCCCTTCCAGGACACGGTACATCAGTACGGAGCTGGGCATCCGGCAGCGACTCTTTGTGGGTGTGCTCACCTCCAAGAGCACACTGAACACGCTGGCTGTGGCTGTGAACCGCACGCTGGGGCATCGGTTGGAGCGGCTGGTGTACTTCACGGGCACGCGGGGCCGCAAGGTGCCTCACGGCATGACGGTGGTGACGCATGGCGACGAGCGGCCCATCTGGAACATGTACCAGACCGTCAAGTACATGCTGGACCACTACGTAGGCGACTTTGACTGGTTCTACCTGGTGCAGGACGACACCTACACCGAGGCTCATCGCATCAGCCGCTTGGTCGCCCACCTCAGCATCGACACCCTCCTCTACCTGGGCCGGCCTGAGGAGTTCATTGGGGGCGACACCGAGGGGCGTTACTGCTACGGTGGCTTCGGCTACCTGCTCTCCCGCAGCCTGCTGCTGCGCCTGCAGCCGCACCTGGAGAACTGCCGTAATGACATCCTGAGCGCCCGGCCCGACGAGTGGCTGGGGCGCTGCATCATTGACTACACGGCCATCAACTGCGTGGAGGAGCACGAGGTTAGAGCGCCCCCCCTTACCCCCACACTGGCCCCCTGCCCCCATCAGCCCCCACTCCTATACTGGCCCCCTGCCCCCATCAATTCCCACACTGACCCCCTCCCCCAATCAACCTCCACCCCCCACACTGGTCCCCATGAACCTGCACCTTGCCCCAATCAACCCCCACCCCTATACTGGCCCCCAGTCCCCAACTCCTCCCACACTGACCCCCTGCCCCAATCAATCCGTACGGACCCCACCCCCTGCCCCCATCTGCCCCCCTGCCCCAATCAACCTCCATCCCCCACATCGGCCCCCTCCATCCCATCAACCATCACCCCCTCCTTGATCCCCTGCTCCCCTTTCCCCCACACTGACTTCTCCACCCTGTGATGGATTTACCCCAGGGTGCTGGCTGGAACTGGGGGACCAGTGAGCCCGCCTGACCCACCAGCCTGGTCTCCCTTTACACTATACTGCTGTGCAGCCTGCCAAGCGCCCCCGCCCCCCAGGCTTCAGGCTGCACGTTACCAGCACACACACAGGTAGGGACACACCCAGCTGCTGAAACACACAGATGCAGAAATCAGCTCTGCATGGGAAGGCTCAGCTAAGGGACTGCCCAGTACTCAAGTGAACACCCCCCTCTAGAGGGTAAACCCCAAAATATACCGTCTTGCACTGCACAGAGATTTGTATAGCGTAAGCTCATGAAATTCGCCCCCTTCCTCAACGTGGAGAGGAATATACACAGCTTATGCCCCATGTATAATTTCCACACACTGGTTTTAGACCAAACAAAAACAAGTTTATTAACTACAAAAGCTAGATTTTAAGTGATTATAAGGGATAGCAAATGGATCAAAGCAGATCACCTAGCAAATAAAACAAAAACGCAATCTAAACTTAATATACTAAAGAAATTGGATATGAGTAGCAAATTCTCACCCTAAGGGTATGTCTACACTTGCAGAGTTTTTGCACTGTAAGTTTCACCGGTGATAGGGAATGGTGAAAGAACAGCTCTGGTTTGTGTGCTCGCTTACTTCCACAGGCGTCAGAGAGTGATTACATTAGCAGCACTTCCATCCCCGATGAGAGCAGCTGTCCCACAGTGCAGCTCTCTCGCTTGGTCTTGTGGGAAGGGGGGTGAGCGGAAGGCATTCTGGGTCCCTGCTCAGTGCCCCGTGCTGCCCTGCTTCATGTCCCAGCAGCACCATTGCTTTCTTGTTTCTTTCGTGGCATTTTTTTTTAACCCCCCCCCCACACTGTCTGACTGCTTTCCCTGCCACATCTACAAGCAAAGGGAAAGGGAGTTTCAAACTTCCTGGGGCTTACATGGGGTGGGGCGGATGTCCCTTGACCTGGCATCAGAGCAGTGGAGATGCTGGCCAGAGTGGTCACTTTTAGAACTATGGCATATCCTCCGGAGGGCAAAACATGTTTACACAGGTTGAACGTGTCTTCACTTTCACAACATCACAAAAAGAACAGTGGAAGGAGCTGTATGCCTTTCGTGAAGGTGGTTTTCTTTTTGTGATGAAACTTCTGAATTTCACCGCAAAAAGTCATTAACAAGTGTAGACGCTCCCGCAGTTTTAGCGCAAAAAAGGGACTTTGCGCTTTAAATGGCAAGTGTAGACATGGTCTTAATGTTTTTAGACTGTTTGCAGAGATTCTTGAGGGTAAACTGCACTTGCGTGCAGCTTAAAACTCCAGGTATTCCTTTCACAGACTAAAAAGAAAAGGAGTACTTGTGGCACCTTAGAGACATAAACTGTAGCTCACGAAAGCTTATGCTCAAATAAATTCGTTAGTGTCTAAGGTGCCACAAGTACTCCTTTTCATTTTGCGAAGACAGGCTAACATGGCTGCTACTCTGAAACCTTTCACAGACTAGAAATCCCGCTAGCCTGGGTTCAGCCGCCTCCCCCCCCCCCCCCCGTTCAGTCCTTGTTTTTCAGGTGTTTCCAGCAATCTTCTTGGGTGGGGAGTCAATGAAGAACCATTGATGGTGTCACTCCCCTGCCTTAAATAGCTTTTGCATATAGCAGGAACCCTGTGTCTCCCAGGCTTCGTTTCCACGCCTGTCAGTGGGAGGACACTGGTATTCCAAGATGGAGTTCAGTACCAGGTGACTTGGTCACATGTCTCTGTAGAGCCATAGGAGCCATAACTTGGAGGCTGTTTGTAGTGTCCCCAGGAAGGCTCCCCAGTGGGAGATTAGCACTTCTAAGACCTATTGTTCTCCCTAATGGCCCTTCCCAGTCAGCCATCTGGACTGATTGCATTCTACCCAGTGGGCGTTCCCCAGGTGTAAACACATTTGTAATAGATACATAGACAATATTCCTAACTTCAGATACCAACATGATGCGTGCATACAAGTAGGATAATCAGAGTCAGTGAATCAGAACCTATTCAATGACATCTCACATGCCCTGTCTTGCATAAAATACATCCTAGTTATGCCATAATCATATCATATATAATAATAATACTATGAAGAATATGGGGCATAATGCCACATGCCCCATCTCACTTCCATACTGACCCCTGCCCCCATCAACCCACACTCCCCACAGTGGACCCCTCCGTCCCATCATCTGCATAAAGGAACAAGAGGTGAGAGCAATCTCCCAACTAACCCCCATCCCTCCACCCCATCTACCCCCCACTGATCATAGAATCATAGAATATCAGGGTTGGAAGGGACCCCAGAAGGTCATCTAGTCCAACCCCCTGCTTGAAGCAGGACCAATTCCCAGTTAAATCATCCCAGCCAGGGCTTTGTCAAGCCTGACCTTAAAAACCTCTAAGGAAGGAGATTCTACCACCTCCCTAGGTAACGCATTCCAGTGTTTCACCACCCTCTTAGTGAAAAAGTTTTTCCTAATATCCAATCTAAACCTCCCCCACTGCAACTTGAGACCATTACTCCTCGTTCTGTCATCTGCTACCATTGAGAACAGTCTAGAGCCATCCTCTTTGGAACCCCCTTTCAGGTAGTTGAAAGCAGCTATCAAATCCCCCCTCATTCTTCTCTTCTGCAGGCTAAACAATCCCAGCTCCCTCAGCCTCTCCTCATAAGTCATGTGTTCTAGACCCCTAATCATTTTTGTTGCCCCTCGCTGGACTCTCTCCAATTTATCCACATCCTTCTTGTAGTGTGGGGCCCAAAACTGGACACAGTACTCCAGATGAGGCCTCACCAATGTCGAATAGCCTGTGGGGAGAAGCTTAAGGTGAAATTGAACCTCCTGCTACCTCCTCACTGACCCACAACCTCCACCCCCCATTAGTCTTAACTCCACTCCATGAACTATATGGATGAGCACAGTCCCCACCCCTCTCCCCAAGCAATTAGGGATTGGGGTGTGATGTAGGGCAGGCATTACCCCATCCCTACCCCAGCTCAGGGCCTGCGGTACCAGCACTCAGAGCAGGGATTGGGGTGTGATGTGGGGCAGGCATTACCCCCTCTCTACCCCGGCTCAGGGCCTGCGTTACCAGCACTCAGAGCAGGGATTGGGGTGTGATTTGGGGCAGGCATTACCCCCTCTCTACCCCAGCTCAGGGCCTGCGGTACCAGCACTCAGAGCAGGGATTGGGGTGTGATTTGGGGCAGGCATTACCCCATCCCTACCCCAGCTCAGGGCCTGCGGTACCAGCACTCAGAGCAGGGATTGGGGTGTGATGTGGGGCAGGCATTACCCCATCTCTATCCCAGCTCAGGGCCTGCGTTACCAGCACTCAGAGCAGGGATTGGGGTGTGATTTGGGGCAGGCATTACCCCCTCTCTACCCCGGTTCAGGGCCTGCGGTACCAGCACTCAGAGTAGGGATTGGGGTGTGATTTGGGGCAGGCATTACCCCCTCTCTCTCCGGTTCAGGGCCTGCGGTACCAGCACTCAGAGCAGGGATTGGGGTGTGATTTGGGGCAGGCATTACCCCCTCTCTTTCTGGTTCAGGGCCTGCGGTACCAGTACTTTGAGCTAGGGAAGAACACGGACCCGGAGCGGGAGAGCGACCCCCGTTTCCAGAGCGCGTTCACTGCCCATCCCGTGCTGGACCCTGTCCAGATGTACAGGTTGCACAAGCACTTTGCCCAGGTGGAGCTTGAGAGGACGTACCAGGAGATCCAGCAGCTCCAGGTGAGGCCCGGCCCTGGGGGAGGGGGAGTGTAGAGGGGATGGGCCCAGAGCTCTGAGTCAGATGAGCAGGGAGCAGCCTGGCTATGGCTTGGGTCACCTTGCCCTCCAGGGAGGCTTCCCATTTCAATCTCAGTCTGCTGCACCTGCCTTAATGAGGCAGCCAGAACACAGAATCCCCCCAGCCTGTGCCCTGGCACAGGGGCCAAGGCATCTTCCTTCACCTTCTGTGCTGGTGATATACCCCGGCAGAGACGGTTCTGCCAGGAGAATGGGCCTGCCAGGGTGGTGGAGCATGCTCTCTGCGGGCAGTTACTCTGGTAGATCTGGGCTGGCTTGATCTCTGAGCCCAGCCTTGCACTATTGCCCAGCTGAAGTGCACCTACGGCTCGTTGCATTTCTCCTGCAGGATTTCATCAGTTTATTTCTTTTAAAGGCAGAAAGGATCCCTGTGATGGAGGTTATGCTCTGACCTGCATAACACAAACCGAGAACTTCCTCAAAACAGTCCCTGGCTGAACTAGAGCAGATTTTCTAGGAAATGTCTAGTCTTAACTTTAAAAACTTCCAGTGGTAGGGAATTTTCCATGACCCTTGGTAAACTGTTCCAGTGGCTAATTACTGTCACTTAAAAATGTACACCTTATTTCTAGTCTGAATTTGTCTAGCTTCAACTTCCAGCCATTGGATCACGTTAGACCTTTCTCTCCTAGATTGAAGAACCTTCTATCATCAAATTTCTGTTCCCCGTGTAGGTACTTGTAGACGTGATCAAGACACTCCTTAACCTTCTCTTTGTTAAGCTAAATAGATTGAGCTCCTTGAGTCTGTCACTATAAGGCAGGTCATCCAATCTGTTAATCATTCTTGTGGCTGTTCTCTGAACCCTCTCCAATTTATCAACACCCTTGAATTGTGGACACCGGAATTGGACACAGGATTCCCCCAGCCATTGCACCAGTGCTGAATACAGAGGTAGTATAATATCCCTTCGCCTACTTGATATTCTAAGGATGGCCTTAGCCCTTTTGGCCACAGCATCTCCCTGGGAGTTCATGTTCAGCTGGTTATCCACCATGACTCGCTGGTTCCCCAGATACAATCCCCCATTCTGTAAGTATGACTACATTCTTTGTTCTTAGATGTATGTCTTTGCATTTGCCCATACGAAAAACACATTGTTTGCTTGCGCCCAGTTTACCAGGAAATCTAGGTCATTCTGTATTGATGACTTGTCTCTCTTCTTTATTTATTTTTCCCCCAGTCTCTGTCATCTGCATCTTAGAGACTAACCAATTTATTTGAGCATTAGCTTTCGTGAGCTACAGCTCACTTCATCGGATGCATACCGTGGAAACTGCAGTTTCACATCCGATGAAGTGAGCTGTAGCTCATGAAAGCTCATGCTCAAATAAATTGGTTAGTCTCTAAGGTGCCACAAGTACTCCTTTTCTTTTTGCAAAGACAGACTAACACGGCTGTTACTCTGAAACCTGTCATCTGCATGTGATTTATCAGTGATTTTGTTTTTTCAAAGCCATTGATAAACATGCTAAATAGCATAGGGCCATAAACTGTTCCCTGCAGGACCCCATTAGAAACATGCCGGCTCGATGATGCTTTCCCATTTACAATTACATTTTGAGACCTAGTAGCCAGTCTTTAATCCATTTAATGTGTGGCCATGTTGATTTTTTTTTATATCTTTCTAGTTTATTAATTGAGTTGTCACGTGGTGCCAAATCAAACCCTTTACAGAACTGTGTACAGTAACTCCTTGCTTAACGTTGTAGTTATGTTCCTGAAAAATGTGACTTTAAGCAAAATGATGTTAAGCGAATCCAGTTTCCCCATAAGAATTCATGTAATGGGGGTGTTAGGTTCCAGGGAAATCTTTTTCACCAGACAAAAAACTAAACTAAAATGACACACACACAGAGTATAAGTTTTAAACAAACAATTTAATACTGCACGTAGCAATGATGATTGTGAAGCTTGGTTGAGGTGGTGAAGTTAGAGGGTGGGATATTTCTCAGGGAATGCCTTACTGCTAAATGATGAACTATCACTCGGCTGAGTCCTCAAGGGTTAACACATTATTGTTAATGTAGCCTTACACTCTACAAGGCAGCATGAATGGAGGGAGGGGAGACAGCATGCCAGACAGAGAGACACACCCTGTGTGTGGGAGAGAGCGAGAGATGCGCATTGCCCCTTTAAGTACGCTGACATCACTCGCTAAGTACATTGCCTTTTTAAGTACATCAGGAAGTTGAGGCAGAAGCTGCGGCCAGCAAGCACTCTCTGTCCTGAGCCCTATCTTTCCCCACCCTGCTCTATATGGAGAAGGGGTAAGTGGGGGGCAGAAGTAGTGGGGCGGGGGACACCCTGACATTAGCTCCCCTCTTCCCCCCTCCCCTGCACAGCAAGCAGGAGTCTCCCGGGAGCAGCTCCAAGGCAGAGGGCAGGAGCAGCACATGGCAGGGGCGGGAGGGACAGCTGAACTGCTGGCAATTGGTAGCCTGCTGGGTGGCTGCTGCACAGGGAACTTAGGGAAGCGGGGAGCTGATGGGGGTCTGCCAGCCCACACTGGTTCCAAGCCCCCACCAGCTCGCAGCAACAGGCTGCTCTTCCTGCAAGCAGTGGACAGAGCAGGCGGCTGCCAAACAACATTATAAGGGAGCATTGCGCAACTTTAAACAAGCATGTTCCCTAATTGATCAGCAACCAAACAATGTGAACCGGGACGACTTTAAGTGAGGCGTTACTGTAGATGCAATATATTTACTTACCTTTATCAACCAAGCTTGTAATCTCATAAAAAAAATCAAGTTATTCTAACAAGATCTATTTTCCATAAACCTGTGTTGACTGGCATTAATTACATTACTTTCCTTTAATTCTTTATTAATAGAGTCCTGTATCAGCTGTCCCATTATTTTGCCCAGGGCTGATGTCAGACTGATAGGCCTATAATTCCCCAGGCCATGCCGTTTACCCTTTTTGAATATTGACACACAATTCCCCAGGGTTCCATGACCCACTAAAAATCAACATTAATGGTCTAGAGACTTTTTGTGTCAGCTCTTTTAAAACTCTTGAAGGCAGGTTATCCAGACCTGCTGATTTAAAAATGTCTGAATTTAATAGCTGCTGTTTAACATCTCCAGAGTTACTCATGGAATGGAAAGTGTTTGATCATCATGTGACATGATGACATTATCTGGCTTTTTTCCACCTCCAGAACAGAAATATTTATTGAACACTTCAGCTTTTTCGCATTATCATTGACAGTTCTACCATTTGCATCTAGTAATGGACCAATACCATAGGTAGGGTTCCTTTGGCTCTTGATATACGTTAAAACCCCTCCTTCTTATTGTCTGTAACTCTGCCGGGCGGGCTGGGATGGAGCTGCAAGTTGCTCTGGTAAGAGGAATCCCGACTGGGCGTCTGTCTGTACCGAGGCCAGAGCTCTTGGCTGTGGCCTTGGGAGATAATGCCCTGGCCCCTGACCTTCCAGGTGCCTGTGAATCCCCACAGCCCTCCGGAGGCTCCTCAGAGCTTCCCTGTTGTTAGTGTTTGACATGTAACAAATCCTGGAGCCCAGAGTAAGTACCTGGGGACTGGAGAAAAGCCAACATGGCGCCAGCATTTAAAATCCAACCTGCCATTGTGTGTGGATGACTCACAGGTTTCGATGATAAAGGTAACCGTTACCATGATACACCGAGATTCTGTAAGGCATGTTTTAGCCCCACATGGTGTTTTTGATTAAACAAAAAAACAGCACTCCACAAAATCAATGCAGCCTGTCTGAAATGGATTAAAAACTGGTGAACAGATCTCCAGAAGTCATTATAAATGAGAAATTGTCATCCACTGTGGGGTCTGTCTGTTGGGGTCCTGCAGGGCTCTGTTCTTGGCCCAGTGGTATTCAGTCTTTTGTCAGTGATGTGGAATTCAAATAAAATCACTGCCGGTAAAAATCTGCAGATGACGCAAATTGGTTGAGTTGTAAATAACGATGGGGACAGGTCTGTGACACAGACTGGCCTGCATCACTTGATAAGGTTGACTCACATGAACAACATGTGTTTTAACACAGCCAAATGTGAGGTCATACACCTAGGAGAAAAGAATGTAGGTCACACTTATCCTGGAAAGCCGATACGTTGAACAGGAGTTAGGGGTCACGGTAGGTAACCAATTGAACGTGAGCGCCCAGTGCTGTAGCTAAATGGGCAAACGTGATCCTCAGCTGTATAAGCAGGGGAATGCCAAGTGGAAGCAGGGAGGTGGTATTCCCTCTGTGTATGGTGTTAGACAGAGCAATACTGCATCCTGTGACCAGTTCTGGTGTCAACACTTCAAACAGAGCATTGGAAAAACAGGGGCTCGGAAAAGAGCTACAGAAAGGGTTTGAGATCTGAAAAGCTGCCTGACCATGAGAGACTAAGGCAGCTCAATCTATTCAGTTCATGCAAGAGAAGGGTATGAAGTGGCTTGGGCGTATGCAGTGTACAAATACTGACACCGGTAGATTTCTCCTGACCGAGGTCTCTAACCCAGCAGACAAGGCAGAGCGAGACCCAGTGGCTGGAGCTGAAATGAGACCAATTCAGAGTAGAAATGAGGCACAAATGTTTAACGGGGTGGGAAATTAACCACTGGCACAGGTCACCCAGGGACCAGACTGAGTTCTAAATGTCGTGCTCTAGCTCAGCCAGGAATGGGAGGCTGGTTGCAGGAGTTGCTGGGGAGGGATTGTGGCCTGTGCTAGGCAGGATCTCAGACTGGGAGAGGGGGCCGGACCCTTCTGGCCTGTCTGTGAATTTGTAAATGTTATATGATGGTAGCGCCCACAGGCCCTGCCCAGGATTGGACCTCGTCATGCCAGGTGGGAATGGTCAGAGCCAGTCCCTGCCCTGAAGGGGTCAGCCTAAAGACCCAGCTGAGGGGTAGAGGTGGGAGCCATGCCTGGGACATCGGAGGGGTGGAGGTGGGAGTGGTGCAGGACAGCAGATTAGCTGGGGGGATTGGACAGCCAGTTGGAGTCACTGTAGAGTTTGTGTAATCTTGGGGAGAGCAGCTGTCGAATAGTCTCAGCCCCTTATAGTATGGGTTGGTGCTGCCATCTGATGGGGGAATGGTGTCATTGCATAGCTAACAGTGCATCCCCGTCCCCTTGAGAGACAAGGTCGGGGAGGTCACATCTTTTACTGGACCAACTTCGTCTGGCGCGAGAGGTGCTTTCGAGCCACACAGAGCTCCCCTAGAAACTCTGGGATTTGGTAGGAAACCGGGGGTGACTGTGTGCCTGGGAGGAGCTAGGCCAAGCGGTGGAGGGTTGGTGTGGGGGACTGGAAGGTGTCTTGTTCCTGCTTCAACTCCCCTCCCTCCTCGTGCAGCTGGAGATCCAGAACACCAGCAGCCTGTCTGCGGACGGAGACCATGGCGCCACATGGCCCATTGGCATCACGCCCCCGTTCCAGCCCAAGACGCGCTTTGAGGTGCTGCGCTGGGACTACTTCACGGAGGAGCAGTTGTACTCATGCGTGGATGGCTCCCCCAAGTGTGAGCTGCGCGGCGTGGACATGGCTGATGTGGCTGACGTGGTGGCCATGGCCATGGAGGAGCTGAACCGCAAGTACCAGCCAGTGCTGCACATCCGCAAGCAGCAGCTGGTGAACGGGTATCGGCGCTTCGACCCCACACGGGGCATGGAGTACACGCTGGACCTGCAGGTGGAGGTGGTGACACAGAAGGGGCACAGCCGCTCGGTCATCAAGCGCGTGCACCTGGTACGGCCCCTCAGCGAGGTGGAGATCATCCCCATGCCCTACGTGACTGAGGCCAGCCGCATCAACGTCATCCTGCCGCTGACGGCGCATGACCGGGACTACGCTAGCCACTTCTTGGAGGTGTATGCGGCGGCTGCCTTCGAGAGCAGCGAGAATGCCGTGCTCACCTTCCTCTTCATCTACGACCCCTTCGAGGCCCAGCAGGTGGCACAGAATGACATCTTCGCCCCGGTCAAGGCCAGGATTGCCGAGTACGAGCGCAAGTACACCGAGGTGAAGATCCCCTGGATCAGCGTCAAGACGGACGCACCCTCCCAGATCAAGGTCATGGACATCATCTCCAAGAAGCACCCCGTGGACACGCTTTTCTTCGTGGCCAGCGTGGACACCGAGGTCACCACCGACTTCCTGAACCGCTGCCGCATGAACACCATCAACAGCTGGCAGGTCTTCTTCCCCATCCACTTCCAGGGCTACAACCCGGCCATCGCCTACCACAACCAGGCGCCGCCCGCCGCCCTGGATCTGATGCGGGATGCTGGGCGCTTTGACCGAGATGTCTTCCACGAGGCCTGCTTCTACAATGCTGACTACATGGCAGCACGCACCCGCATGGCAGGCGACGCGCAGGAGAACGAAGACATCTTGGAGACCCTGGAGATCTACGACATGTTCATCAAGTACTCCAGCCTGCACGTCTTCCGGGCCATGGAGCCTGCCCTGCTGCAGCGCCACCGGCCGCACCTCTGCAACCCCCGCCTCAGCGAGGAGATCTACCACCGCTGCATGCAGAGCAACCTGGAGGGGCTGGGCTCCCGCTCACAGCTGGCCATGGTGCTCTTCGAACAGGAGCAGGGCAACAGCACCTGAGCTGCAGAAGGGGCTGGCTCAGCCAGCCTCCCCATGGCCTGCCCCACCTGCTCTGCTGGCTCTGGTTGTTCTCCCCCTCGTGGTGCAGCAGGCATTCTGCTGGCCCAAGGGGAAGCTCCCTGCAGACAATGGGCTGGATGGGGGCAGGGGAGTGTGGGGGGTGGGCTCAGACCATCTAGCTCTAGCCAGCTGGCACTGGCTGGGCTGGGGCGCTGATAGGGGACCTGTGATATCCTGGGGCTGGGAGACTCATCTGGGAGCCAGGCCATCTGGGTTCTGCTCCCAGCTCTGCTCTGTACCCTGTCTGGTCTCAGTGTCTCCCTCCCCCCTCTTTCCATGGGACAGTGACAATGAGCAGCCCCTGGGAGTGGGGTTCATGGGGTCTGGCCCTTGCACTTGTCCTGACGCTGGGCTGGGCAGGGTCCCAGGGCAGGTTCAGGGCTAGCGCCAAAACCTCTGCTTCCATGAAATGGCCGTGGAAGGCTGAGGGTGACTGGTGGAGGAGGCTGGAGACTGCAGTGGGGCTGGGGCCTCTCCCTGTCTCCTCCACACAGCGCGTCGGCCATGTTGGGGATGCCACCTCCTGGAGCAGCATGGACCCTCTGCTCCTGTGTGCACGGGATGCCTGGCCCTGCCTGCAGTGTGCAGCTTTGCCGGGCTTTGCGTGTTGGTGAGTGTGGGGCATTGATGTGGGTAGAGTGACTTGTGGGGTCAGGGCTGGCCATGTGACACCATCCCACAGAGAGGTGCAGCACTCCCTGTCTCTTGCCCTCTGCCCCATAGACTTCGCTGGCTCCAGTGGGCTGAGGCTCCCCTCCCACGGCTGGCAGGGTGGGGCTCCAGCCTTGGAGCATGTGGCTTTAAAGAGTAATTGCCTGGCTTTGCACCCCAGGTGCTGGCCACCTGGGATTGGAGGCTCTGAGAACCCCCTGTTTGGTACAGTGTGGGGTGCTCCTGCCCTGTCACTCAGCCCCTCACCCACGGAGTCCCTGGGGTGCTGCAGGGCAGGAGGGATTAGAGCTGGAGGCCCTAACAGGCCCGATCCAGGGCTCTGTGTCCCAGGGAGCTCAGGGTGCTGGCTCCTGGCGTGAGTTCCTGAAAGCGCAGTATGGGCTCTGGGCAGCTGGAACCTGGTTAAACCTGCAGCTGTAGAGCAGGGGAGGGTTTCTTTGGTACGTATGGAGCAGTGCATTTAATGGCAGTGCATTGCAGCTCTGGCCATAACCTGCTGGCCTAAGCACTCCAGGCTTTGGGGGGAGGGGGAAGCTTACAGGGCTCGGGCCCCAGGACGTGTGGGTGCAGGGAGGACCGGGGGTCCCTCTATTCACTAACTGTGTGCTGCTCCCCATGGGAACTGTGACCCAGGCCGTTTTGGCCTCTGCAGTATTTTAATAGGACGGGAGGAGGCTGCAGCCCTCAGATGAGAGCTTTCCATGGGAGGTTTGAGCTGTCTCTGCCGCTGGCCCAGCAGGCCTGATGCAGCCACCCCTGCTGGTGCTGTCACCCTTGGGGCTCTCCGTGTCGCTGCTCGCAGGGCTGCATGAGGGGACGGGATCCTGTCCCCACTGGCCGCAGGCAGAGCCCTGTGTAGGGACACGTCTGCTGGAACGGGCCCTTCTCCGAGCAGGCATTGACTCCTGGCTTCTTCGTGGAGCTGTGCTCTCTGCACTGAGCACGCTGGGTGGGGTGGGTGATGCCCGGGTCTGACCCCAGTCAATGCTGCTGGGGCTGCCAGAAAGAACGGGACAGATCGGCTGCAATGTGCGTCTCCAAGGAGCAAGTGACAGAGGAGCCAGACTTGGCTCCAGGTTTATATTTAATGGCAGGGGTTGGGTTATTGTGTTTACACTGCAATAAAACGGAAAGGATGAATTAGTCTGGCTGTGAATTCTTCACTGCTGGAGGGGTGGGGCAGCAGGTGCCAAAGGAGGGGGGAGAGGGAGTTGTACCTGGGCGCCAGAGCTGGGCTCAGAGAGGGGAGCCGGGAGCAGGATGAGGAAGGGGGGCCAGCACCTGGCGGGGGAGGGTCCCAGGGCAGGGCTGTCCCTCCTTTATTGTGTAGCTGAGGGGTGACAGTGGCTGTGCCCCCATGTGCTGGTGGGCGGCTGTGGCTGTGCCGGGAGGCCGGGCAGCGATGCCCCCCGTGTGCTGCCCTGGCGGGGGAGCCTTGGGGCTCTCGGGGTGCACAGGACGACAGGTCCGCTGCTTCTGGGCTGCCTCACCCCTTCTCCCTGGAGCCGGACTGCGGGGAGCCGCTTCCAGCCCATGCTCCGTTCTGGCTGTAATGGCCACTCCTGGTGTTGGGATGGGCCCATCCCTTCCCACGAGGCAGCTCAGCGCTGGGTCGCTCCCCACAGCCTGTTCTCTGTCCAGTCTCGTACGAAGCGCCCCACTCACTGGGCCTCCGCCCCCCCAGCCCCTGGGGTCTCAGCTGATTGTGGCCGGGGAGCCTGGCCTAGCGGGCCTGACGCCGAGGGACAGGTTCTGCGAGGAGCTGGGGAGGGCTGCGGTGTGCTCAGCACGCCGGGGTGTGGAGCCATCTGAGCGGGTGAGCCCTGGGGGCTGGGGGGCTGGCTAGACCAGCGGGGAGAAGAGAACAGCTGTGCCTGAGGGGGATGCAGCTGATTCCAACCTCTGCCCCCCCCCCCTCCCAAGGCCCTATCCCCCGCCTGAAGGGTGCACCAGGCAGCGTCTGGACCCCCATCTCCCCACACCCTGCCCGCCTGAGGGGAGCGTGGTCCCACCCCCACTGATGGTCTCCCTCCCCCGACTGCCTGAGGGGAGCACGGGCCACTCTCCCAACCATCCCCCCCCCACCTGAGTCCCCCTGACGGTCCGTCCCCCACCCCTGTGTCTATGGGGAGCACTGCCCCACACCCCACTGAGAATCCTCCCCCACCTGAGGGGAGTGCAGACTACACTCCCAACGTCTCTTCCCTCCTGAGCCTGAGGGGAGCCTGGCCCCCGCACTGAAAGTCTCCCCCCTGCTCTGCCGGAGGGGAGCACAAGCTACCCTCCCACCCCCCCCAGCTGGCTCTCCCCTGCCTGAGGGAAGTGTGGGCAAATTCCCCCCCAAACCGACCATCTCCCCCCCTCCCCTGAGGGGTGTTGTCAAGGTTCCTCCCCCACTCTGAACTCTAGGGTACAGATGTGGGGACCTGCATGAAAAACCTCCTAAGCTTATCTTTACCAGCTTAGGTCAAAACTTCCCCAAGGTACAAAATATTCCACCCTTTGTCCTTGGATTGGCCGCTACCAACACAAACTAATACTGGTTACTGGGGAAGAGCTGTTTGGACACGTCTTTCCCCCCAAAATACTTCCCAAAACCTTGCACCCCACTTCCTGGACAAGGTTTGGTAAAAAGCCTCACCAATTTGCCTAGGTGACTACAGACCCAGACCCTTGGATCTTAAGGGCAATGAACAATCCTCCCAACACTTGCACCCCCCCTTTCCTGGGAAATGTTGGATAAAAAGCCTCACCAATTTGCATAGGTGACCACAGACCCAAACCCTTGGATCTGAGAACAATGAAAAAGCATTCAGTTTTCTTACAAGAAGACTTTTAATAAAAATAGAAGTAAATAGAAATAAAGAAACCCCCCCTGTAAAATCAGGATGGTAGATACCTTACAGGGTAATTAGATTCAAAACATAGAGAACCCCTCTAGGCAAAACCTTAAGTTACAAAAAAGATACACAGACAGAAATAGTTATTCTATTCAGCACAATGCTTTTCTCAGCCATTTAAAGAAATCATAATCTAACATGTACCTAGCTAGATTACTTACTAAAAGTTCTAAGACTCCATTCCTGGTCTATACCCGGCAAAGACAGAATATAGACAGACCCACAGACCCTTTGTTTCTCTCCCTCCTCCCAGCTTTTGAAAGTATCTTGTCTCCTCATTGGTCATTTTGGTCAGGTGCCAGCGAGGTTACCTTTAGCTTCTTAACCCTTTACAGGTGAGAGGAGCTTTCCCCTGGCCAGGAGGGATTTCAAAGGGGTTTACCCTTCCCTTTATATTTATGACAGGTGTGATGGGCCACCCTCCCATCTCCCCTCCTGGCTGGGGTGCCCCCCGTTTGCCCTGAGGGGTTTTTCTGGCAGGGCACAGCTGGGCGCGGGGACCCCAGGCGCTGTGGGGCGTGTCCAGGAGTGAGGCCTGTTGCTGCCGCACAGGGGTCCCCCGGGTGAGTCGCCCCTCACCGCTCTCAAGCCTGAGACACCTCCTCCAGGTACGTGGTTCCTCCACCTCCCGGAGCTGCGGGGAGTATCCCGGACGCGGGATCCAGGGCAGTCCCCCCGGCGTTGTGGTAAGTGGGGTTGTGTGGTGTTACTGACGGGCCCATTGCAAACCCACCTGCCCATCCCTTTATAGGGTCCCTCTTCCCCTCGCAAACAGCGGGCACCGTGAGTGTTGGTTCGTCCATGGCAGAGGGGTCAGCAGAGCATCTGGGGGGGTATCCGGCTAGTCAGGGGCTGGGACTGGGTCAGGGAGATGAAGCCAGACAGGGAGGTGCGGTGGGTTCCTGATTCCCTGGGACAGCCAGGTGGAGGCACCGCCAGCTGGTAGCAAAGACCCCAGGCTGCTGAACCCGCTGCGGGCAACCAGAGGGACACGGGAAAGGGCGCCTGGTGGTGATTAGCCGCCTTTAGGGGTAGGGCGGCCGTAAAGCCCCCTTACACTCTTCAGCCACCAATGGTGGGAGAGACGGGGGGGGGGGGTCGCCCGCAGTCCCCTTGGGCGGAGGGGACAGTCGGGGAAGGGGTCGCTTGCGCTGCCCTGGTGTGGGAGGGAGATGGTTGGGGGTTTGCCTGCGCTCCTCTCAGGCAGGGGGAGATAATTGGGAGATTGCCTGCGCTCCCCTCGGGCAGAGCTGTCCTCCTCTTAACCCCCCATCCGATTGGCTTAGTCCCCTTTCCCCCAGGGTTTGCCCAGTGACGAGCCTCAGCACCCTTGACAAGGTGAGCACCTGCAGTCTCCCCCGTCTCTGGCGACAAGCTTGGCTTCCTTTTCCATCCGCCTCATGAACCCAGGTCACATCTGCACCAGGCGGAGGAGTTGAGTTGTCCCAAGAGCATTTGAGGGAATCTCAGGGTTCCTGATCCACCATAGAAATGTTGGTCTGGAAGGAACCTCGAGAGGTCACCAAGTGCAGCCCCCTGGCCTGAGGCTGGGCCAAGGAAACCTAGACCAGCCCTGACGGGTTTGTCCAACCTGCTCCTAACGGCCTCCACTGATGGGGATTGCGCAGCCTCCCTTGGACGCCAGTTCCAGAGCATAGCGACCCTGCGCATCAGAAAGTTTTGCCTGATCGCTAACCTCAATCTCCCGTCGTGCAAATTAAGCCCATTACTTCGTGTCCTGCCTTCACTGGACACAGAACAACTGATCCCCGTCCTCTGTATAACAGATCTGAAGGCTGTTCTCAGGTCCCCTCTCAGAGGAGAAAACAGTCATGGCATTCTTTTACTTATTTTAAAATGCTAAATCTACAACAAAGTGGTGACCCTAAAAGGTCTGTTACTGCCTTGAAATCAGCTCAGATTCTGGCTGATGCATCTCTACCAATGGCCATTCCTTTCTGCTATTCAAAAAGGGTGGCTGGCAGGATATGGTCAAATCACAGATCAATACAAGTAATACATGCTACATTGTTATTCTTTATTCTTCATTCTAAATTATAAAAAATACAAACATAAAGACCTACTGCTACACACTCAGTGAGTCGACTGCATGGAATTTAATTTTCCTCTTAAGGGAATAGAACATTATGAACAATATTAAATGGTGTGACAAAGTTCCTCCTCTGCCTTAGTGGGTCCTGTGCTTATTGGCGGATTTTCTTGCCTCAGAGGTTCACGGCAGCCCTCAGTTTGGCCACTTTCGTGGCTCAAATCTGCCGTTCACTCACTTAGCCTCATCACTGGCCAGCGTGGGGAAAGGAAGAACAATCCCTGCAGTCTCTGCTGGTCCACCAAGTGGATCGGGGAACAGGCCAGAGACCTTCCCCTCTGGTGGAACCCACAGTCCAGTTCAACTCCTCCGGTATCAAGTAGGGAGTTGAGGGGATGGGGGAACCCAGGCCCACCCTCTACTCTGGGTTCCAGCCCAGGGCCCTGTGGATTGCAGCTGTCTACAGTGGCTCCTGGAACAGCTGTGTGGCAGCTACAACTCCCTGGGCTACTTCCCCATGGCCTCCTCCCAACACCTTCTTTATCCTCACCACAGGACCTTCCTCCTGGTGTCTGATAATGCTTGTACTTCTCAGTCTTCCAGTAGTGCGCCTTCTCTCTCTCAGCTTCTTGCACCTCTTGCTCCCAGCTCCTCGCATGCACCACAAACTCAAGTGAGCTCCTTTTTAAACCCAGGTGCCCTGATTAGCCTGCCTTAATTGATTCTAGCAGCTTATTGATTGGCTGCAGGTGTTCTAATCAGCCTGTCTGCCTTAATTGTTTCCAGAAAGTTTCTGATAGTTCTGGAACCTTCCCTGTTACCTTACCCAGGGAAAAGGGAACTAATTAACCTGGGGCTAATATATCTGCCTTCTATCACTCTCCTGTACCCCTCTAGGCCACCAGGTAACTCAGGAGGGTGGAAGACCACGAGTGTCGAGGAAGCCCCCCCGCTCTGGGCCCAGGCTAGCCTGAACACTTCTCCCTCCTGAAAGCTGCTGTGTTATACCTTCTGATTGCGTTGTTTTGTTGCATAGTTGTTTTGTTTCCTTTGGTAATTCTGTAAGCGTTACCAATAAACTTTCTTTCTGTTTCAAAAAAAAAAAAAAAAAAAAAAAACCACCTTCCCTGTTATCTTACCCAGGGAAAAGGGAACTAATTAACCTGGGGCTAATATATCTGCCTTCTATCACTCTCCTGTACCTCTCTAGGCCACCAGGTAACTCAGGAGGGTGGAAGACCACGGGTGTGGGGGCCCCCCCCCCCCCCGCCCCGGCCCACCTTCCTCCCTTCTTCTCCCTCCGAACCCTGTTTGCGTTTTTTTTTTTTTATTTTTTTTTTTCCCCCTTGGGGGTTTTTTGGAAGTGTTACACAAATAAAATGAAAAAAAAAAAACAGTAAGGCCACCAGGAACTGTCGAGGGGGAAGCCCCCCCCCCCCCCCCCCCCGCTCTGGGCCCAGGCTAGCCTGAACACTTCTCCCTCCTGAAAGCTGCTGTGTTATACCTTCTGTTTGCGTTGTTTTGTTGCATAGTTTTGCTTTATCCTCTTTGGTGATTCTTTGTTAGTGTTACACAAATAAAATTGTTTTCTGCTTCCCAAAAAAAAAAAAAAAATCACTCTCCTGTACCGCTCTAGGCCACCAGGTAACTCAGGAGGGTGGAAGACCACGAGTGTTGAGGAAGCCCCCCAGCTCTGGGCCCAGCCTAGCCTGAACACTTCTCCCTCCTGAAGGCTGCTGTGTTATACCTTGCGTTTGCTTTTGTTTTGTTGCATAGTTTTGCTTTATCCTTTTTGGTGATTCTTTGTAAGTGTTCAGAGTAACAGCCGTGTTAATCTGTATTCGCAAAAAGAAAAGGAGTACTTGTGGCACCTTAGAGACTAACCAATTTATTTGAGCATAAGCTTTTGTGAGAAGCTTATGCTCAAATAAATTGGTTAGTCTCTAAGGTGCCACAAGTACTCCTTTTCTTTTTGTAAGTGTTATGCAAATAAAGTTCTTTTCAGCTTCAAAAAAAAAATCACTCTCCTGTAGCCATCTGGCCTGACCCTGTCACATAGGTCATAATGTTAAGATTGTATATCTTACTTTCTTCAAACCTGGTTGTTAAATCTCAATGAGATCTACAAAGCAAGCCAAATTTGAACAGAATTGATTCAGCTGTTTTAGAGGAGAAGCATATGGGGGTGTTTGTGGATCTCATTATACACATTGAACTTAAACGGCTGAGCCAAAGTTGTCAAATTTTCCAAAATTGTCTTCTGGGCTGAAACCAAAAATGGAAAAATTGGTTAAAAAGAAACAAAAAAACAAAATAAAACAAGAATGCTGGGGGACAGACTGAGGTTAAGAAGCAAGTTGGAACTTCTAGCTTGCATTATCCACCCCTGTTACCATTTTAATTGTGGAAAAAATCTTTAACTACAGCTGCTACTAAGAAATTCGGTGACTAATTTTAGGACTGGTGTAAAATGTAATAATTATGCATGTGAATAGTGTGGGGGCTGGGTACCGGGAGTGGGAGTGTTCTATAGGAACGTCACTCTTGCTAAACATAAGAGCAGGATGATGCGGGGTGCTGAATCCCTCCAATCCCTGTGGAAGGCAGTGGGGATGGATGTTCAGCATCTTGCAGGACTGAGCCACTGATTTTTGCCCAATATTCACTCTTGTTTACCTGCAGTTAGGGCCATGCACATTTCACTGACTTGGCGAGTCACTTGCTCCATTTCATTGACGGCTTCTCGGATTTTAGCTGCCAGCTCCGTTTTTGTGCCATTGTGGAGTTTCACAGAATCCTTTGCTACAAAGAAAACATCTAACCCCAGGGGGACAGCTGTTAGAATGTGGGTAGCAGCTCCAGCAAATCTTGCAACTTTACCAGCATTAGCCAGGAGCTGACCAGCTTTGACCATTTTCGGGATGTTAAGAGCGGCTCGTCCTGCCCCTGCCCCTATCTGTGCGAATGGAAACATAAAATCACTGTTTCCATAACTTTCCAAGCATTGTATATGTTCACAGATGATCTCTGTATCCTTTTTGATATTTCCCAGCTCGGCCTGACACTCCAGTAAGAGCTTCTCTACTGTCTCCTTCTTGACTTTACTCGCCACCATATCTGTGGTGGTTGCGGCTGCACTGGTCAATCCCCCTGCTGTAGCAACAGCAAACCCCGTAAGAGAGACTATCAGGGATGCTCCAAATGTAACAGGAGCGAGACTGAGGCCTACAAAGGTCGTTATCCCCCCAGCAATTCCCACTGCCCCTCCAGCAACGTTTGCTACTGTTGCTCCTTTGTGGACCGTGTCAATATCATCTGCAGTTTCCTGAAGCTCATGGAAATGTTTCTGCAATCTGTCTCTTGCCCTCGGTAAGGACTGCACCACTTCATCGACTGTCTTTCCTGGAGAACTGACAGAAAAGAGAGAAAAATACAAAAATTAGGACTTGTCTACACTGGGGAAGTTTTATCGCCAAAAAATGCCTTTTGGCGACAAAACAGCTAGAGCGTACACACAAAGACGCCCAGTTTTGGCGAACAAAAACTTCTACCCCAGGAGAGACTTTTGGCTTTTCCCCTCCCTTTATTGTCAACAAAGAACCAGTGTTGATACTGCTGACTGTTTTGTCAACAGAACTGGCTTCCGCCAGTATCCCACAATGCCTGCCCTGATTGCTCTGCTCAGTGCTGGGATCTCTGCTGCCCAGCAGGCATGTGTCCCTGCCCTTTCAAAGCTCCCGAAGTATCTGTGTGCTGCTCCCTTTGGGGAGCAAACAAAGAGCAAATCATTGGACTGCTCCTGTTCTGTCTGGCACTAGGAACACAGCAGTAGCGGGATGGGGACAGACTGGGGTGCTGCTTTGCCATTCTTCAGCACGGAGAGCTCACAGAGCTACTCCTGATGCTGCTCACAGCAGCTGAGGGGGCAGCGGGAGAACTCGGAGAGAATCCCAAGATGCGCAGGGATCAGCTCTTCCTTCCCACAACACTGCACTGTGGGATACATACCCACAGTGCACTGCTCACCCTGTCGATTATGGTGTTCCCAGTGTGGACATGATCTATCGACAGAGGAAACAAGTGTGAACACCCTCTGGCAATTTGTTTTGTCGACTTTTGGGTGTCGACATAAGTTTTCTCAACAAAACTTGGTAGTCTCCAGGTCTAAAATCCCTGCTCTTGCACCTTCTTGGGCAGTCTTGACATGCTCCCATTGACTTCCATGGGAACTGCATCCACTTACACCAGGGCTGAGTTTGGTCCTTGGTGACGGGTGTGTATTGGCTGTCTTGACCTTAGAGTACTCCAGCGCCTCCTGCCGATCAAGGCTACGATATGCGGATTAAGCTGGTCCAGTTAAGTAAGGGACTAAGAAAGCGGCTGTAACATGGGCTGTGTAGACAAACCCTTAGACTCAGGTTTACGTTTGTGCTACTGAGGGATTAGAAAGCCAAGGGGATTCTGCTCAGGCTGGATACAGGACTTGGGCAGGCAGTGACCAGACCAGCTGTTTTGTTTCGTTAACAGATCTGAAAGGGGCTCACCTGGGAAGCACAAAGTTGAGCCACTAGGGAACCATGCTAACATTCTGCAAGGTCATAAATTAATAAGACTTCTTAAAGACTTTGACAGTTTGTACCCCTATGTTCACCCCTTTTTCAGGACTATGATCAATTTTGTACACAGTAGGCCTTGTGAGGCGTCATTTGAAAACTCATAATTTGCTGATCATTATTATCCAGGTAAAATGTGTGTGACAACATCGTATGTAAAGTTAAAAGATTCTACTGGAGACAAAATCATTTACTTGTGACCATCATTCTGTATGGCTCCTAAATATCTTGTTAAAAATTCCCAGCCAGGGTCTGTAATCCATGAAGTGTCTCACTTCCTGGGCTCAGTCGATCTCACCTATGAGGAGGCCAGTACCTATGCGGGCTGCAGAGGGTCAGTAGTAATAAGCACTCCACTGTCTAAACTGCCACTGATTCACGCTAAAACTTTTATCACTCAGGGGTATGTTTTTTCACACCCCTGAGCAACATAAGTTTTAGGGCTGAAAGTGGCAGTGTAGACACAGCCTAATTGTTTTAATGTTCGCAGTGTACTGACAGCTACCTTACAAAAGCTCATATTGATCATGCTGTATATGACCTAAAATAGGCTTGGCAGAGCCCACCCTGCCTCCCCTGGAAAGAGAGAGCAAATTCCCACAATGGCACCTACCCTGCTGTGCAGGGAAGTGAATTTCTAAACGTTATAGGTGACAAAGATGACTGGAAGGGTATCAGTCAGCACAGGGGAATTCAATATTAGACCTCCTCCTAACATATAGAGAGGAATTGATCACAGGACTAAAAGTTAATGATAGCTTAGGTACAAGTGATCATGACTTGATCACGTTTATAATATACAAGCAGAATAAACCCGATGAAGTGAGCCGTAGCTCACGAAAGCTCATGCTCAAATAAATTGGTTAGTCTCTAAGGTGCCACAAGTCCTCCTTTTCTTTTTGCGGATACAGACTAACAGGGCCGCTACTCTGAAACCAGTAATATAGACGTAAGCAGAGTCAGGATGAGCTCTACCCTGACATCTGGTGGCGAATTGTGGCAAGTTGTGGAAAAGAACTTCAGGGGCTGATCTTGTTTGCATAGGCACACCCACCCCGCCTAGCTTGAGCCCACAGCAGCCCAAATGGTCAATTTGGCTGCTGTGGGATCCCCAGTTTCTGTATTATTGGGGCAGGAAGAATAAAGTGTGGTTACCCTGATTATGTGAATCAAGGACAGTGGAACTGTTTTATGACGGAGGGACTCGCCATCAATAAGGTGGGGCAGTTGGCTTAGGACCATGTAAGGTGCCCCATAACACCCCCATTTTTACCCAGGCTGGGAGGTAAGACTCTGCAGATAAACTTTTGAACTCTGGGGCTGCACTGACCAGGGACAGAGACCTTTGGGTTGTTGGACTTTTGGGACTTTGAGTGATTTTGGGTTGCTGGACTCAAGAACCAAAGGGAAAGGACACTGCCCAATTTGCTGGGGTGGGTCTTTGCTCATGGTTTGGTTGATGAGCCCTAGTTGTGGTGTTTTCCCAATTTAATGTTGATGTCATTTACCTCATGTTATTAAAGATTGTCTGCTACTCTGAGACTCTGTGCTTGCGAGAGGGGAAGTATTGCCTCTTTGAGGCACCCAGGGGTGTGTAAGATTTTCCCAGGTCACTGGGTGGGGGCTCGAGCCGGTTTTGCATTGTGTTGTTGAGAGGGAATCCCTGTGTACTGAACCCAGCCCTTGCTGCTATCAACTCAGCCTGGCAGAAGGGCTACGTATATACATGTTGCTTTACTAGGACCAGTTTCACAAAGCTGAAAACAATTATGAGCCAAATCAGCTGGAAGAATTTAATCAGAAAAATGTGAAAGATAATTGGCAATTATTTGAGAACACTTTACTAGATGCCCCAAAAGCCCCAATCCCACAATTGAGGAAAAAGGCTGTGGTAGGTTGTGTTTTTATTTATTAATTTTTGTTAAACTGCTTTCGAGTGGAAGTGAAGGCAGCCATTTATATATATGTATATAAACACAAACACAACAAGTAGAAGAAAGTAGAAGTTGATACTAATGTCTATAAATCAGAAGCTAGGAATGATAGAAAATTGATAAAAGAAGCCAAAGGCCACAAGGAGAAATCTATGGCCAGCAGACATAAGGACAATAAGAAGAAGCTTTTTACACATATTAGGAACAAAAAAGAATCCTGACAATGGTAGTGGTGCATTACTAGATAGAACGGGCAAGTAAATAAAGGGCAAAAGTGTTCAATCAATATTTCTGTTCTGTATTTGGGGAAAAAAACAGATGATGTAGTCTCATCATATGGATCACTTGTAAGCTGGGCGCAAGCAAGCAATCTGAGTTTTAATATGGCTAAATCTAGGAACAGGGAATGCAGGCTATACTTACAGGATGGGGGACTCTCTCCTGGGAGGCAGTGACTCCGAGGAAGACTTGGGAGTTGGGTTGCATAATCATTTGAACATGAGCTCCCAGTGTGATGCTCTGGCCAAAAGAGCTAATGTCATCCTGGGATGCATAAACACAGGAATCTTCAGTAGGAGTACGGAGGCTACCTCTGTATCTGGTACTGGGGCAACTGCTGCTGGAATACAGTGTCCAGTTCTGGTGTCCACAGTTCAAGAAGGATGTTGATAAATTGGAAATGAGTTCAGAGAAGAGCCACAAGAACGATTAGAGGATTGGAAAAACCTGCCACATGGCGATAGATTCAGGGAGCTCAATCTATTTAGCTTAACAAAGAGAAGGAGGTTCAGGGGTGACTTGATCACAGTCTATAAGTACCTACATGGGGAACAAATATTTGACAATGGGCTCGTCAATCTAGCAGAGGAAGGTGGGAAATGATCCTATAGCTGGAAGTTGAAGCTAGACAGATGTTTAATGGTGAGAGTAATTAACCCTTGGAACAATTTACCCAGGGGCATGGCGGAGTTTTGGATCCAAGAGATTAGATTTTTTTTTTTAAAGCTCTGCTCTAGGAATGATTCTGGGGCAGGTCTCTGGCCTGTGCTACGCTGGAGGTCAGACTCGATGATCACAGTGGGCCCTTCTGGGCTTGGAATCGCTGACTAAGCCAGACTCTTATGAAGCAGAAGTAGAAGGAGAGAGGAGACACAAAGCCATTTGTTTCCATCACTCTCTCTTGATTCCAGTAGAATCTCCATCATTTCTTAAATAAACCTTCTTCTATTGTATTACAAGCACTGTGTGGTTTACAGGAGCAGGAGTTTCAGGTAAAACTGGGGCACGTGGCTCCTTTGGGGGCAGGGACGCTGGGGTTTCTGTGAGTAGCCAGTGTCAGGGATTGGGGATCACAGAGGAGCAACTCAAGGGGGCTCGGGGAGTTGCTAACGTCCTGCTAGCCTGCAATGTGAGGAGAGGGCTGGCATAGCTCAGAGAAGAGCGTTGAGCAGCTAACGAACTGGTGGTGTTAGCGAGTTAACAGCCAGCGCCCACAGGCCAGGCTCCCTCTCGCTAGGGGCAGGGGTTCACGAGGTGACTCGGCTGTGAGTGCCCTGGGAACCGTTACAGAGGCCTTGGGATTATTGCACTGAGGCAAGTTCCCAGGGAATGTGACAGCGGAAGGCAGCGCCGTGCTGACAGTGGGTCCCTGGGGAAATCTGACCCAGATCTCGCTCTGCCCTGAGCTGACAGAAAGGTTTCGCCTGTTTTGGCTTTGAATCCTGTCCCCAGGGGACCAGGAATCCTGGCTGGGAGGAGAGAGCTTTTCCGGTGGTTGCTCACCCAGCAAGGGGCTTCAGGACCAGCCAGGGCTCCGCTTGCTTCTAGCACAGCTGGCTCCTCTGAGAGGGTTCGACTCCGACACTCACCCAGGTAGGGGAGCA